GAGTTTTCATGAAACTTTGATATAATTTAAAGCAATGTACTAATTAATACACTAATGTAAACAAATTGCTGCTAGTGTAAATATTAACAACGTAAGAGACAATTCAAAAAATTAGTTTAGTTATTTCTGAAAAAAAAGAACAATGTTGCGTTTATGTTCTCTGATAGAGTAGTCTACCAAAGATTTACAGAAAAAATTTGGAGCTGTTTTTTAGAAAATCTTGTTTCTGAATATATATTTTTTTAATTCCAAACATTTCACCCAAAACTATTGCGAAAACTATTAAAATGTTCAAAAAATGTTCCTGACCTTAATGAAAGACTAATTATGGACAATAAATTTAATTAGAATTTTCCCTTTAATATTGTAATTGTAGGAAGGCACAAAAAAATCAAACTCTTGTAATTTTCAAAAATACAGAGTTAACCGTAAACGTTAAACCAACGCTATCCTTACAACTGTATATATTCTTACACGAAAATTAAAGAAATATTTGTTTTTGAAAAAGATTTGAAAATGTCCGCGAGGCTTCGTGTAAAGTACACCCAAATATTTAAGAATGTTTTTCAAAATCTCAAAGATTTGACTCTAGATAGATTGATCGGAGAATATTCATTTCGAAAAAATCCTACTTATGTCAGCTGCTAGATGTTCCACGACGGCGCCAGCGAAGGACGGACGGCAGACGACGCAGCGACTCGTTTTTTTAAAAAAACTATACACTCTTTTCGTATTAGGGAACTCCAATGCTTATATTTCCGTTGAATCTCCAAGCCCGGTTTTTAAAAATGTGTTTAAGCGTGAACTGTAAAAGCAAAATTTGAACTCTTCACCGCAAACTAGTTTTGAAAAACTTATTTAATCATTAAGCACTATCACAATGCGCAGAAGGTATAGAAATTGAAAAAAAAAAAAAAAATGTGCATATCTAACGCTGAGAAAGAATACAGAAAAATATTAAGTCATCTTAATTAGTGTTATTACCAATATTTGAACTGCTGTATATCTATTTTGTAAATATCCGAGTTCTTCATGAAAAGTAACCCCAAATTTTAAAGAATATTTTTTAAAATCTCAAAGCTTAAACTCGCGCCAGGTAAACAAAGATTTCTTCAATTTAGAAAAAAAATAATCCTACGCATGGTTTGGATGCTAGTGGTGTTCACGGACGGACGTTTTGGCGTCAATTCATCAAGGACCCACAAACAAGGGGTTCTGGCTCAACCACGTGTTAGGGTATTTTTACTTTCTTTACCTTACGAATTTTTCGTAATAAGTGAAAGTTATGTAATCGTGCGCAAGAAAACTGCAAATTTCCTCCAGAAAAACTTTTATTGACGCACTCTCTAACGAAAAAGTGGATAAATCCTGTTGCTAAATTTTAAAAAAATCCCTGGTTTTTTCTTGTGGGTGTCGACGCTGGTGGTGATGTGGGGGGTCGACGCTGGTGGCGATGTGGGGGGTTCGACGCTGGTGGTGATGTGGGTGGGTGTCGGCGCTGGTGGTGATGTGGGTGGGTGTCGGCGCTGGTGGTGATGTGGGTGGGTGTCGGCGCTGGTGTTGCAGGTGGTGTATGGAGCGGTGCACGCGCGGCGCACCGACTACCACGCGCAGCTGGAGCTGCTGTACAACGTGTCGCAACCCGCGGGCGTGCCGTTCTTCGTGTCGGCTGCCGCGTGGCTGCGACGCGCCCTGGAGCCCCACGAGCGGCTGCTGCTCGTCGTCGTCTCCGACGACGCGTTTTGGGCGCAGGTGAGGGCGCACAGCGTTCGCCTTTCTTCGGAGGGGAAGTAAAGCCGGCAGTCCCATGTCAGGAGATTTACTTGCATGTAAAAGATCCTCAAGCGTAAATGACACCTCTGAGCTAAATTAAAAATCGCCTCTTTCTCACCCAGAAATACCTCCTTTCTCTGCTAGTTGGTAAAAGGAGCGTAGCAAAACTTGCGTGGTCAGACGGAAGAGCAGGCCTAATGGCCTGAGTCTCGCCACGTAAAATAAGGCATTAATTCAATTCAATTCACAGCGGGCGAGGTTTTGTATGCAAAAGGGGAAAAAGTATCAATCCGTAGAAAAAACTTGTAAAATATTATAAATAATTATAAATTGTGCTTTGACTGTTGAATTAATCGACTGCCCCAGCAGGTAATCGTACCCGAATCTCCCGATGTACGCTCAGTTGCGCAGGTTAGTTGCAATTGCGAAACGAGAAACGTATTTTCGTGTCATGCAACTTTGACCCGGTGGCGAAATGTACAAATTATATTGCAAAAAATATTGCCATAAAATAAAAATATACCCCAATTTGGATTTTGATTATAATGTCTGTATTTCAGTCTACGTTTGTCATCAATTTATACGCATAATTTACTAATTGGATACATACATTGAATTACACGTTTTAAAGTCTTCTTCAAAACCACAAATGGTCAGAAATTACAAGAGTCCACATAATTACTAATAGTTTATACATTAATTACAAATTTTGTACTTTAGTAATAATTATACATTCTATAAACTTATTTTAGCTCTTCTTGTGCTCATACAAGAGTCTGAATCTAACTTTTACCATTTCTCCCTTGTATTATATTTCTTATATTATTATATATAATATAATATTATATGTTATTATACAATATCATATTATTATATTATTTAAAATAGTTCGTGTTTTGTTTTTGAACGTTTTTGAACTCGCAATTGTGATTTTTTCGAAGAATAGTTTCTATTCGTGTTGTTCAAAAGGTCTGGGAACCCGGGGAAATGTTCGAAATATTATTTTGGAATAATGTAAGTAACGTATTTAATTTGCAACAATTTTTCTCTCAGAAACGTGAACTTGTAATACATAACATGATGTTACATTATCATAAAAATGAAATCGATAAACTCGAAGAATTATTTTAAGAAATGAAAATATTTTCTCCTAATTCCACAATATCAACAAATGCTGTCATTATGTAACATTGATGTACACCAATATTCAACGAAACACGAAAGCAATAAAGCACTGGCTACATACTTTAGAGGAACGACGCTCGTTGGCGAAATTTATTGAGATGTCTTTGATAACACCAGTCCAAATTACGAACTTTTTACTCACTATTGAGTTTTTCATGGGCCCTCATCTTAGTCTTTATTTTATTCAAAAGCATTCTTCATTCTGTGCATTTACCAAAGCAATTTAACACACTAGTTATTGTTAAAATTGTTTTCTGTAGGAATAGAGGCAGTCTTCATCAACAATACATTAACATGAGGCACTGCTTATTAAATCAAAACTGCATAATTAACGGCATTATCACTGCTTGCCATCAGTTCTGTTTCCAAAGTAAATTTTTGTTTAATTACCGAGATCAGTTTTCACCAGAGATAAATTCCCTCGGCTTTGATCCGTAAACGAAAATTGAAATAAATTGATACTCGTTAACTAAACTTTGTAATCCTATGAAGTTCCACTGTTTTATATTCTCCCTTGATAAAAACTGGTCCATACGCACACTACGCTGGACGACTTGGCTGAGGGCGCTTTCTTGTAGTGGCTTCCTGAACTAATATCACACCATTCCGATAGAGTGTGCTGACTGTGATAAAATAAACTCTTCATTGCATCACATTCGCCCAGACATGTCTGTGGGTTCGCTGGGCTATTCGTATTTATTTTTTTTATGCAATTCACTGGAATGCATTTTTATCTGCATTTCTACGCCTAAGTTAAAACAATTTTGTGTTCGCTTTATTACTCATCTCTGTGCTTATTTTTCGAATAATAGATTAAAATGGAAACAATATGTAATTTCTTTTCATTTCCCATTAAACATCATTATGTAAGTAGTATTGTTAGTGAAGTTGATTTGAATTAGTCATACTTTTCCAATGATTGCGAAAGAATTTTCTGAAGTTGCGAAAAGAATTTCATGAAGTTAGGAAGTATAATTACAGAATCTTTCAATTTGAATCTGTAAAGAATGTTTTTGTTTGTTTGTATGTCCAATGTCAAAAAAGTCATTAAAGAATAAGGTAAATGTAAAATCACATATAACCGTTGATTCTACTCATTTTAGCGTATGCGTTTACTGTTTTAATATTTCCGCATAGACTGAGGATTTATTCATTTAGCATTTGTACGTAATATTTTATGATTTATTTATACGTTAATGAATTATACAGCGGCCACATGTTGTATAAACTGAACACGTCGTTTTCACTGCAAACGTATAGATGGAGAATAAAGTATATTTTTTGGCAAAGAATATATCAATGCTACTTTTCAAAAAAGTGCTCGCGTACAACAATCTAAATAGGCATTCCACAAGTACAGTACAATGAGACGTAGGAACAGATCTTCCTACCAGAATATCTCGTACTTCCTCTACCATTTAATAGATTTGATTAATTAAAGAACAAACTTATTTTCCATAAATAAATTAAAATGTACATCTAATATATAAGATACTCATAAAATTAATAACTAGGAATATCGCTGAACAAATAGATTTATAGATGCAATTTTGAGTTGAAAATAATAAAAAACGGAGGATATAATAACCGCAATACGAACATGAATTAACCGTCCAGTGACATATCCGATCTTATAAAGAAAACGTTTATAATAACGTGTTAGCAAAAAGAGTTTTGTGTTCTCCTCGACGTGAGCGATCAATAATGACACCTGAAAGTGAAGAGGATCACATGCTTCAGTCAGTCTCGTTTGATTTCTATCTCGCGTGCAGAAAGTAATACTTAATTAGACTATTTAATATTCTCCACGGGGCAAGATCGCGCCACCTGCGGAGCAAAAATATTCACTATGCTAAGGGCCCTAATGACTTTAGCAGCCTATGAAACTGTAATCAATCAACCATGAGATTGACCTCGCTCTAATGCGTTATGCGCACATATGTACCTCCCGCTGCGCAAGCAGAGTATGTATTCCATGCGTATTTACCACCCCCGCTGCGGACGGAGCAGAGTGGGCAGTCCACGTGCGCGTTTGTGTGCAGGAGGAGCTGGTGCCTGCGCTTGCGCGCGCGCGAGCGGGACCGCGTTGGGCGCGGGTGGGCGCGGCAGTGGCGGGCAACGGGAACCCGCTGCGGCGCCGAGCCGAGCCTGCGCGCTCCGCCGCCATGCACCACACCGTCTTCGCGTTTACGGGCCACCTTCGGGTGTCGCGCGCTGGTGGCGGGCGGGCGCGGCATTCGTGTACCAGCTGGCGCGCGACCCCTGCACCCGACGCTGCTCACCCGTCCGAGCAGTTCGCGCGCCACTATGCCGCTGGGGTGGCGCTGCGTGACACCCAGTACGGGCGGCTGGCCTGTACAGGTTTTACGTACTATTACAGAACTCTCCGCTATTGTCTTTTCGTGCATTCTAATCGTATTTATTATTATTTATTTACTTATTTATTTATTTACTTATTTATTTATCTTACTTATTTATTTATTTACTTATTTACTATTTATTTATTACTTATTTATTTACTTAATTTATTTATTACTTATTTAATTTTATTACTTATTTATTTATTACTTATTTATTTATTTACTTATTTATTTATTACTTATTATTATTACTATTTATTTATTTATTTATTTATTTATTTATTTATTTATTTATTTATTTATTTCAATATACAACCACTGAAATTACAGTCAGAAATCTTCGGAAATTAAATTTTTGCGATTACAGCGCTATCTATCGCGCTATCAGCGCAACCTATCACAAATCAGAAAAAAGTTGCAGACAAAACGTATGCATTTTTGTCCGTAGAATCCGACTCTGCAATAAAAAAATGGTGGTTTATATTTAAGATTTCAATGTTGCCCTCCGCCCCACCCGCTTCGGGGAGGGGGTGCTGATTTTAACGTAGAATGATTCCCCCTTCAAAACTGTTAAGATTTGGTCTCGGCTTAATGTTTTGTACATCGCGTGTTTTTTGAGTTATTTCAAGTTGTCAAGTTAAATGGCACGCCTGTGTATTTGGGTTTAGAGGCCCTCATCGTCAATGGTCATTGATGCCTAAAAGTTATTAACTGGTGTGTAGATGATAGCGATTGATGTTGGGATTAATAATGATGTGGAAGAGTGGGATCAGAGGCGGGGGAAACGGGAGCACCTCCGAAAGAACTTGCCAGAGCTCGCTTTGTCAACCACATATCCTGCCCCAGTTGGTTGGCAATCTTGCCCACCGTCGTCCCTCATCAACCCACTGGAAAGCGTATGCGCTGGCCAACACGTGATGGGTCGTCCATATAATTCGTATGAACACGTGGGTTATCTTCTGCAAAAGGGAACAGTCTGTAAGAGATTGGAACTGAGAAAATTGACAAGGAATTCGTACATTGCTGTGCAACAATTGATTTCTTAGGGTGCTCATTTACGGAGGTTTGTATTTTACAGACATTTCTTGTGAATGCGGAAATGACTATTTAAGTATTCGGAAACATGTCAACATTGCGCCAGCTGTTTCGATGTTTTGTGGTCACAGAGTGTACTTTTCAAACACTTTGTACAAAGATTATAGAATTTGGTTTCTGCCCTTTCGAAAAGCTTCATTGTAAGTTTCTAATGGATTATTTGTTCTGTTCTATACCTTTTCTAGATACGAATGATGTGTTACGAATAGACTTCAAAAAATACTATAATGTGAACCCATTGTCGAAGTTTTTCCAAAGTAAAAGTTTACGCCGCTTAAGAGTACTGTTTGAGTACTGTAGAGTGGTTTAGGAGAGCTCCATTTTAGGTTTGGGTTATAGCTTGTTGATCTACTTATTTGAGAATGGCTGTCAATAAAAATGTGTCACTTAAAAAGTATCTAAATAAAAAATATCACATTGTATTTAAATGTCCACCATGCCCAGCTGTAAGTTACTAAGTTTTTAGAGCTCGTTAAAACGAATTAAAACAGTGACGTTTTTAGTCATGTTTAATTAATTTAGAGATTGATTTCTTTCTGCAATGCTAACTAATTATCCCTGTTAATGTCAATATACACTATTGTTTGATGTACCGTGTATAACAGGCGCCCGAGGTTTTACAACAGATCCATCACGTTACATTCGGTAAATGTGTTGCGCATATTACATTCCAATAGCAACTGATTATCGTAGTAAGATCTGAGGAGAACGGGTGCAGCCGATATAACTCTCTGGGTTCATTAACTTAAGGGGGTCCATGCACTTTAAGCGGACTGTTCGAGATTGCTTTGCAAGTTTTGACTTCAGTGAACTGTATTATTTGATTTAAGATGGAGTTCTTTACTAAACAGTCTCGAAACCCTCTGTTTGCTCGTGGATGCGGGTGAAGGGAATATATCCAGTTTCACTCCCACACAGAAGAATATTGCACAATAACAAGTTTATTATCTAGAAATAAACTTGCTAGCAGAATACACAGTTCACATAATACATTCAAGCCCTTCACATAATAGGTTGCACGGTTTACACTAGTCAATAGATCACCATTCACAGTTATCATTAGTGTGAAAATTCAATAACTTTGATGATGAATGCTTTGCTACAAAGAGCGTGCGTAAAGGTAGGATTACTTTACTGAATTCGGGCCAGATAGTGACACTGACTGTTTTCAATCCGAACCCCAAATTAATCTGCAAATTAATAAAAATGCTTACATATATAAATCTGTTTTGCTGTGTGGGCCCGAACATTTACGAATAAATACCAATGCGTCCGATAATTTTGTTACAATTTATTTCATCCACTTAAACTAACAGGCCCTGTCCCTGGTAGTTGGGTAGCCCTGCTCCTGGTAGTAGGGCGCCGCCCTAAAAGATGGGGTGAGTATGCATGGCATCGATCGAATGAGCATAATTTTTTTGTGGTAAGAAAGTATTTGTGAGAGACAAATCTTGAAGGTTTTAGAGACTTCGCTCGTCAGCCTATAGGATCTGGAGTCTAAGTTATTAGTGCTGCACTCGATTTAAATATTAAAAATGCATGGGATGAATAATTTTATTTTCCTTTGAGGTTACCTTAGTCTTTCATACCGATTATTATAAACTTTTAGGTCTATTTAGGATTTGTCGACCCTGGTTGTAAGAAAAATGCGAAAAGGAGGAATTGTGAAAATTACTGTCTCGTCAAAGAAGAAATATTTATTACCATCCTAAATGACCGATTAGAAGGATTCTTCGTAAAATAATTTAAGAACCTGTAAATGAGTCGTGTGAAACGAAGGGATGCACTACTTACTAAATTGTAAACCAAAATATTTTCCAAACCGAAGCTTGCCCTGTGATTTGAATGATATATTTAATTTCAGGGTACATTTAGAAGTTCTCTCTGTAATCGCATGGTTGTGTGTTTCAGGCAGACGTTCTCAGACATCGACATCGTCAACATTGCACGAGCGGTTGCAGTATCGCAACATTGCAACACTGCGTTGCAGATCAGGGACAACAACACTGAGAACAACGCCTTGGGCTCTGGAATGGCTGAGTCAATGGCGTTTGTGAAACGCGCCTAATAACAAGAAAGATTCTGGTTTCCCTAGCCTTGGCGCCGATCTTCCTCTCGTATGGAGGAATTTAAAGGGTCGGTGGGTCTCCCGGCAGAGTTTGAGAGTGTCTAGAACAAGTTTGTGAAATATTTTTTGGATATAGTGACGTTTGTAAATCTGAACCGGAAGGTTTTTATTGTTAAGGGGAAGTTGTTTGTTCTTTATAAAATATAGAATTTTCTTATAATTAAAGCCTGAAGCGTTTTTAAGGGGAGAGGGTACCATGTCCACCACCCACCAAAAATTTGCTGCTATTGATGTACTTTGTGTAGAAAATGGTTGACTACAAAATTTTGATATTTCATACACGTATAGATAAAACCTTTATTTGTTTGGTATTTTTTGAGGTGATACAAAAATTGTATTTTTTTTCAATTATAAATCTAATTTTTCAGCATTTTTTATAAATATATTATTTTTTATTTGCCGTGTACATACGTATATACGGAGTAGTATACGATGTATAGGTAAAGCTTTGTACTCCTACGCAAAAAACGGGGAATTTTTCGCCAGAAAAAAATAATTGCCGGCCCCGATAACGAAAAAGCAAGTCGATAAACCCAGTTGTTAATTAGAAAACGTCTTCTAACCCGTGGTATAGCCAGAATCCTGTTATGTGGGTCGTAAGGCGTAAGATTTTCTTCCAAAATGGATATTCCACGGTCGATCACGCTCCACTCGAGGCGCCGCGATTTTAAAAACCTTTCTCTAAATTTGGGGGTACCGAACATTTTCAAAATTTTCTCAAAAACAGTTTCAAATTTTTTCTGTAAATTTCGTGTAAGAATGGTGTAAAATATACATATGAAGGTGGCATAGGTCCAATTTTCACGGTTAACCCTGAATGCTCGAAAGTAGCAAATGTTTGAATATTTTTTCGCGTCTTCCTACAACTACAAAATTGAAGAAAAGGGGTTTGCCTTTATATAAAATTTTTTGACCATGAGCATTTCTTTCATGGAGTTCATGTACATTTTTTTATACCTGTAGTACTTTCCGCGCAGTATTGCGTGTAATATTTGCAATTTTTAAAAAATACAAAAAAAATTAAAAGAATGGCTCTAATTTTTTTCTTTAACCTTTTGCTAATGATAGCGCAAAATACACTCTCTGAGGCGGCATAAATTCCCTATTGCTGTGTTCTTTTGTTTTTTGAAAAATTACCAAAATGTAACTTTCTGACTTGTCTTTCACGTCGATAATATTTACACTAGCAGCGATTTGTTCACTTAATTATATTTATGAGTAAAAGTGCTTCAAATAATGTGGTATAGTTTTTCGAAAACTCAACAATTATCGCTAAAAATTAACTCAAAATTCCACATTTTCGGAAATGCTCAAACGTCATTTTCACAAAATGGTTCCTTCAAAATTTTCCAACGGGTAATGCTAATTGCGCTGTTGACATTGCGCAAATGACAATGTTCTTTTTGCCATATTCTTTTGTTTTTCCAAAAAATTCACAAATGTATTTTATTTAAATATCTCGCACACCTTTAATATGCACATTTTCTGACATTTGTAAACACTATTACTTTTGAGACTGGATGAATTTGAATGACTTCAGATGCCTTTTTTCGAAAAATCAATAGTTTTCTGTGAAAAGAGGCTCAATTTTTGAATTTACAGTAGCGCCATTTTCTGAAAGCCATTTCTGAAAAACGGCTCTTAAGCGCCTTTTTCTGAAAAAGTCTCCAATTTTTTTGATGTGAATTATAATTTAGGGCGAGATTTTACTGTTCTTTAAAATTCTTAAATAGTATTTTCGTTCTACTGTTAAGAAACCGAAAAATTAATAAAATTTCAAAAAAATGTACATGGGGCGGCGATAGGTGTTAGCTGGCAAGAGTATGTGGCAAGTCCGAATAGCTAGCTAAGACAAGTGAAAATAGAAAACTAACACCGGAAAGTCTGTGCCATTCTGAAGCACTACTAGTTTATTATTGAAGGAAGTTTATACAATAATATCAATTCATTGTCAATACAATAAAGAAAAAAGAATCCTGTAAGTTTCAATAAATTGAGAATAAGAGTTTCTAAGAAAAGGTTCATTAATTACAAACTGAGTACATTTTAGGGAGAAGCAGTTTGAAAACAGTCTGCACTTGCCGCTGTTCTACTGTTATCCGTTCCCCCTAAGAAAGAACATGATGTAAACAAGTTGAAGAAATCTTTGCGCCGCACTACATTTCTCATTGGACTCCTCCTTGCGCACCATTTCGATGACGCGAGTGGAATATTACGCCAATTCACATAGAATAAAATCTGTTATGCAAATGAATTGACAGCTCAAACAGTATGCATTGGCAGTATTGATAGTTAATGCAATTACTTTACTTACGATTAGACTGTTTCAGGAAGTGGTTGTCAATAACCGGATGTCAATTATTTGTATATTTGGCTTGCCTTAAATTCAGTTCTTGATTCACAAGCTACAGTAATTTTGCAAGCGCTGGTGTTTGTCTCTGCATTTTTGCCCTTTTAGTTCAAGGAATGCACTTTCGATCTAACAGCACTGACTACAAAGTCATCGTATGCTTCATTCACAGGTTTTGTTCCCCTTTCTTTTCTTCTGTGGCCATTGCATGTTGTTGTCCCTTGTCAGTGAGCTCTTTCCGGACATCAGGAGTTTTCTTAGGGTGAACGGATAATAGAACATTCTGTTACGTATTCTGGATAATTTTTTTAAGCGGAAAAACCAATGGTACCAACATATGAACAAGAGCATGTTTCAGTTTCTCATTAACAACGCAACATGTGTTCATAATTACGAAAAAATAGCCCGTATGCAGTGCAAAAAAAGGGGCGTGGCTCATTCGCACTAGAACTTTTAGGTAAGAATTTAAGGGACTTCCTGGTATCTAGAAGAGTAATGTTGATATAATGGAAGAACAAGTTTTTTACTAATTATTGAGCTGAAAAATGAAAATCGATGATTTTATCCATTTCATTGTACCCTCTCCACTTAAAAGAAATCCTTTTGGACAGACATTACTTAATCAGATATTAATTGCTTTGAATTTATTGCTCAATCAAAAACTATACAAGCAGAAAAATGTTAATCTTCTCTAATTATTCTTAGGTGATGTTAAAAGTTTGAATGACACCAACTTAATTTATACTTCTATAATTGACTAATGGATGGACATAAAGCCAACAAATACAAGATTGTCTTCAAGATTACAGAATGGCTGAGAAATGTCCTTAAAGTACTTAAAAACTTTACTGCAACTGAAAAAGGACCAGAATATTTGCAGTATAAGTATAGTTCGTTTTGAGTACATAAAAGGTTTTATGTTCCAGAAGAGAAAGAGTACAGAGGTTCTTACTGTATGTTTAGAGTAACGTATAACACTAAAATATTGAACACAAAAATAAAATGTAACTGAGAGTGTGAGTGATTAAATGTGCCTTAAAAAATAATTTCATAATGTGAGTAAACTATTCTCGAGTGTATTTTGTCCACATTTGTATTTTTGTTATTAATTAAATTTTTCTTTCTAGTTGAATATTTGCATTTTATTCTGCTTTTTAAAGGCTCAACCAGAAGATTTAAATTAAATTTTACCCAATGAGACCATGCATAGAGAAACATACGTCAAGCCCTGGGTCTGCCAATTCTTGATTTCAGTTTAATTCGTTAACGTGTTAACGTATAATGCTACAAGACACCAAAATTTAGTATTCGCACGTGTTTTTCGCAATTTAAAATACAGAGGATTGTGGCTTCGGATTCAGCGCATTGACATGCATAGAGAAACGTGTCTCAAGTCTTTGGGTATGATAACACCAGGAAACAAAAAATACAATGACACTCTGTTTTTTCGCAATAAAAGAATTGGAGGGTGGTGGTCCAAATCTGAATACAGATTCGGATTCGGCACGTCGACATACATAGAGATGTCGACAACTTTTTGTGTATGGCAACTTTTTTTAATTTTGTGCGCCTGTGTTAAATTCCAATTCTTCCTTTCTTTCCTTTTCATTCTCTTTTATACCTATCAGTAATACAGTTAACACAGGTGTCTTTGCACACGCTTTTATGCACATAAATTCTACAATAATTTAAATGACTTTAAAGGAGCAGTCACGAAATAAGAACTGATAAACCCCCTCTTACTCGCCTAGGAAACCGGCTCCAAATATACATTCAATAAATTAAGAAACCTCATTTTTAATGAGGTACTGGCGAATTTAGTTAACTCCAGATTAATCTCATCTGACACTTTTCGTTTTTTAGCTTATTTATCGAGTTTTTAATTTATTCATAGTTAATTAATTTACATTTTAAATTTCATATTTGTTTATTTCAGCATCTTCCACATTCGAATCATACCATGAACTTTTATAGTGATCCAGCCAAATTTTTTCCTTGATTATATTTACTTCTACAGTAGTCTTTGTGACGCTATTTGGATGCTTTATTACTTTGTAACCTAAGGTTTATCGTTTGTGCACATCATCATCGATATTACTGACAAATCATTCCAATGATTCTTGATGCGCTTTTCTTGGTGAGTGTTTTAGTGTTTTTTCTTATTTATATCCTTTCTTTACATGGCCCTCTGTTTTTTTCTGTACGTTTTTGTAACATTTTATTATAAGCGTTTTTTTATCATTAATGGCTTCGGTGATTAAGGGATTTCTTTATTTTCAGTTCTCTTGTTTTATTTTCACTCTTTGTACCTGAGACATCACTAGCTACTTTCTTTATTATGTTTTATGCTATTTCATTCTTTACCTAGATCAACTTCTGTCGGAATCTGACTTGTATATACGTTTATTTGATCAAGTTAAACATTCTTGATACTTTCTTCGTTTACTAAGTAAAATTTAAATATTTTTTGGATGGTGTTTTATTTATTTATTTCTTCCTTCATTTAGCTAATAATAATCGATAATTTAATAATTGATATTATTAAAAGTTGATTTGAATATACAACACCTCCGGAAGACTCTCATATCAAATATTTGGCACTCTATTTTTTGGTTCACCATAACATAATTATTCTGCTACCTTTTGCTCTACAGGCGTACTTTTGTATGTAGTTTTTTCTAAAGAACGTGTTGGTAATTTTAAGACCGCTATGGGTAGCAAATTCTCGCCATTCTCCATTTTTGTTGAAAAATGATTCCCCATAATAACCTACAATATTTGGAATTGACTGTTTAACTACCGTAGCATTGAGATCTCCCACTATGATTAAGTGATCACTTTTTATCATTTGTACCTATTTTTGTAGAATTTCGTAAAATATTTACTTAT